TCAACCGATACTGTGCTGTTATGCATCCTGTCAGTACCAGGATACAGAGGTAAGAAACTTGCTAATAACTTCATCAATCAGTTCAATCGGTGTTAACAAAATAGTACTCAAACAAAAGAAGGGTGAAAGCACGTACGCATTGACCCAAAAGAGAGACAATCATAGAAAATTTCATGATTATTAATGTGTCAATTTTTGGGCTGGATTGGGTTACATAATAGGAGAAAGTTTTGAAATTATTACTTTATTGCCATGTCATCTGAGAGACGGCCAAGATACATATATGATTTAACTCAAATGCTTATAAAAGAGAAATGCATGTTTACGGACTGAATTAGATATTGATAACAGAAAATGAAACTTTGCACTTTTGGTATAAGAATCAAATTTTGAGAAAACAAAACAAAATATTGTCCACCGTGTAAATTGTGAGACTGTTAAAGCTTGTTTATGTTTAGTTGTTTCAATTAGAAGCAAATCTAGTTTGTAAAAAAAAAATTGTAGTTTTGTCAAAACAGGAGCACCTAGATTCTCTATTCTTTGAAGAACAATAAAGGAAAACAAATAGTTGCCTGGTAATTTGCGAATATAATTATTGTTGACAAAATTATGAATAACAAGAATAAGAGATAATGTTATTATTGTTTTGAAAATTGTTGTATATACGCGAATAAGTGTTAAATGTGACTCTGTTTTATATGACGAAGTCAGGGGACTGGACGGTAACAAGACTATATAGTGAGAAAAGTTCCCTCGCACACAATTGCCGTGATTGGGAAAACAATGCAATAAACAATGTTAAGTTTTGGCACATCTTATTTGTATGTATAAGTCTAATATATAATCAGTAAGTCACGATATCTTCGTTTTCCCATCCTCATGCGAAATAGCAACTATAAATACTGATACCCCACCCACACCGACAAGACCGCCACAAGACTGACAAATGACCTAATAAAAGAATTCCTTTACCACATGCATTAAGTCGTGAATGGATTGGTTATTTGGAGTGGACTTGGCGATGTGACAGACGAACCGCTTACAGTTGAAGTGTCTTGACCCGAGACAAGAGAACTTGATTTGCTGCTAATTAATGGTCCTCAATGGGAAGGGCATTCTGCTTTTATATGTTCATTTAGAATGGTCGAAAACAGAGTCACGGAGTTTACGTACGTGTGTTCTATTTATGACTAATATGATAATACTCAGCTTTTCTGAAGACGTGTAAATATTTGCATTTTCATATATAACACGATAGAAACTACTTTCGAAAAATCGACCCAACGTGATTTCATTAGCCTTGTGCGTCACTCATTGAAATGTGCAAATATGACGATGACGCGGTACGTAATCAGAACTTGAAGCATAATTATTATAGCACAGCGTTTTTCAATCTTTTTTTAGTCACGACACCCTTTAAGAAATAAAAAGTTTCGCGTCACCCCAATCCCAAATTTATTACATAAGATATATTTTGCATCACTCTGACACTCGTCGAAATACCTACGTGCACATTTGTATTAAATTTATACGATTAAAAAAACTTTTGATATATGTAATCAAAACACACTGAATACATGTAAGATACAAAATCACGTATGCGTGTATCTTTTTGCCAAATACATGCATACAACATTCATACATTCAATTGCCTTAATTCACGAATAATGAGGATATTCGAGCTTCTCGTTGCACTAACCTTGTAAAGATGCAACAATGAGAACTGATTGCAACTCTCTGACTGTGCGTCAGAAAGGTTTTATTTTTAAACGATAAATTGGAGGAGTTGCCGGGTATACTCTGTATAAGATTGGTTCCAAGGCATGCCTCTCAATATTCTGTTGTGAGCTTTCAGATAAATACTATATTAGAGGACAAACTAGGGCTGATCTCGGTGTCATGTCTGTCTGTCTTGTGTATGAAATAATCTTATGGGATTCTCAGCTATGTCTTATTTTGGGATTTATTAGCATGGATAGAGCTTTATCAGTTTTGTTGAAGCGATAAGTTTAACCCGGAAACAATTACATCTTATGAGTGTTCATAGTTGGCCGAATCAGCCGTAAAACATATTGACGACGCAGAGACCTGAAGAAGTCAGGGATGAACAGATTTATTTTTCAAATCAGGCATTCCAAACTGTTCTTTTTTTCTTGTGGTTATAGTTTACCCTCGTATATAGGAAAGCGAGGATTCTTTTTATTTGTAATACCTTCTACTGTACCCAAACTTTTTGGACAATGCTATAAATTAAAGAGTCTGTATAAACGAGTAGTATGATGGTAGAATATAATCATGCTTGCAACAACACAAGTGAAATAACTTGAATAAAATTATATTCATCGATTGACAATTCACAAAATAGTAGATTCTCATCGTGTTCCAGCTAAGGGCGCAATTCGTTTATCACAACGATTATTGTGAACAATGTGAATATTAAAAAAAAACGGAAAGCCCAAAAGTCCTTCTGGTCTTGACAATATTAAAAAGAAGTATACCGTTACTGCTAAAACATAATTATCAAGATTATCGGAATTCGTTGTTTGCAGAGACAAAATATTGAAATAGCAAATGTTTATTTGTTTTTAAAGTAACGATATTTTCTGTCAAGATCGGTATGAGTTGACTATTGATTGGGTCGGTGTAAGACATTTTTGTGAAAATTACCTTTAGCAAAACATGAATAGGGAAGAAATCTTGGTCACTTTCTTCAAACGTCATACAAACTTATTTAGCCCAAAGATTACGCGTACAGGTGATAGAAAAAAAGGTGATACTATTTTGGTACAAATACCCCCCCTTTTTTTTTGGGGGGGGGGGGGGCGGGGTCTTTCTCCCTCCTATGCAAACATCGAATGTAGGTTCAATCATAATCATGTTCGGGGTAGTCCCCGCCCTGCTGTACCTTTCAGTTTATCCCAATATTTGTCTTTGTATGATTAGTATGTTATTGGCTATGTCAACCGCACATCTAAATCTGAGTGCCTGGCCGGTCTACCTCTTGAGCACCCATTATCAAATCACCTGAGGATCAAGACGAACCGCAATCTATTATAACATTCACCTCATGCTGTTCTAAAGATCTCAAATATCATTTCTTAAAATAAATCTTTAAGATATTCAGACAGAAATATCCAGCGGTATAGGCGATATTTTAGCTTAAAAAGCCGAGTTGCTCTTGATATGTTAACCGACTTTAGTTTTCCCCTTAAAGGGATCGTTTAACATTGTTAAACCTGAGATACATGGCCCTACTTGTTATCAGTGTCTGTGATATGGTGTAATATTGAAGCCCTAAAAAATTGCGATTAAAAATGATCAAGAAGTGCCTCAAAAAAGTAAAAAATCTTTGAGTGACCGGTTTTACCATACTCGTTTTCCCCGATAGACTGTAGTGTTATGAAAACCGTCAGGCGAACGGTTTTCAAAATTTGTAATTCCAATCATAAATATCTTGATAATCAGACAGGCGATCGGCTTGTAAAAGTCATGGGGTTCCTGACTGACCTAAAGGTTTATAATTATCATTGCATCATGAGCTAAATCCAGAATTTTGTTTCAGAATCTGAGACAAAGTTACTGGATCCCTTTAAGGCCTTATGTCAATGACATTCACCTGATTGTGATCAAGATGTGCTTCATGCAGGCTATCATGTGACGATTTGTTTATCTCGATAAGTAATTGATGATCATAGTGATCGAACAAGAGTTCGTATTTCATGCTTAACAAACCCAACCTCTGGTTCAAGAGCGTTTTCACTTCCTTAAGTAGTGATACTGATATAGCAAAAGATTTAACAGTAAAAGATACGGTTGAGTTCTGGGGAGAGGTGAAATATAATTTGTGAGCGTTATCATTGCTGTTATGCAAAATTAATGTGGAAGAAGATCAGAGAAAAAATGTTCCCTGAAAAGCTGCCTTCATATTCTAAATATGATAAGTAACAGCTTAAAAATAAGGCCCACATTTTTATCCCACATGTTTGTGTAGTCCCCATATACATCTTTCTTTGTACAGTGATTGTTACTTTACCAAGACTGGACCAAATTTCGTATCATTTTGATGATTCCAGAACCTTGCAGTACACACCGATACTTATATGCTGCATGATCAACTTGTTTTGATCGATTCCACACCGTTTCTTTCATGATGCATGAACTGGACTTTATCTTTAAGTTTAATATGCAACTAGAAAGAAGAACAAAATCAAATGCGTTCGTACTTCTACAAACATTGTTTGTCAAAGTACGTAGCTCAACATTTCCCATGTTTCGATTGGAAAATAACTGTAAAGTAAATCATGAAACTACCTGCACGGACTTTGTTGGATTCATGAAACATTCGACAGATCGAAATGTTAATTATTATGTCATTCATGTCATAAAGTTAAGTGACAACTGTAACGAAAATGCATTCCCCCTAGTGACAGGAATAACGTCCACCTCGATCGAAAAGAATTCCGAAAAGTCAACTCAAGGGTAATTTAAACACCCTATAAATTGTACATCCCATAGAAGTCATATTCGCATCATGATAATATTCCCACATTTAAAAAGGTTGCGTACAAGGCTTGAAATTGCCTCAGGTGTATTTTTCGAAGTAGTTGCGGTCGTCCTTTATCTTTTTTCTTTATTTCAACAAAAAATGGAAATAGGCTTCGGCGAAAACCAAGGGATGACGTATATCTCTCTTTAAAAAAAAAAAAAGTGTTCACTTCTAACTATCGCTATTTTTTAGCTTGAAATCAATAGAATATGATGGAATCTTTTAAACGTCATCTCTAACTCTAATTTCAATCGATCAATTCGCTATAAAAACGATAATATCTCCATTTGTCGCGTCAAACCAAATTCAGACAACTTACTTTTGTTCATTTTCTTTTAATGAGGCAGATTGACTAATAAACAAATATAGACGGAAAGGTGGATAACTAAATGAATATATATAAACAACTATACATGTATAGATAGATTAATATATAAGCATAAAGATAGACAGATATATAAATTGATTGATTGATAGACAGATAAATGAATACCCGGATTGAAAGAC